GTGGGACCAAGGCTCACGAAGTGGCTCTTACAGCAGCAGATCTGACAATAAGGTCAAAAGCTGGTCTATATAAAAGCAGGTACAGTGCTGCTATAACTAACACAAAAGCATGGAAGAGGGAACTTAATAACAGTCACTCCCATTTAGTCAGCTGTGCAAAACAGTCAAGTTGCATCAAGTGATTAGTTCAGTGTTTGCATCTTTAACCTTCTGTTTTTCAAAAATGGCTAATTCTGATAGTCTGCAGAGATCCGGGGCATCTCTTATGTGATTTAAAAAAGATATTCATCCCCTACCCTGGTCCCTTAACACACAATGAGTCCTGGATACAATTCTGAATTAGAAAAATCAACAACATCATAAATAGTCCTATGCTTGGAAGAGAGGACTGGATACTGTCCATTTAAAACTGAACATTTTCTCGCTCCCTGCAAAGAGCAGGATGCAGACCAATGTCTCAAAGTTGCAGCAAAGCAGGCTCAGTTTGGGTATCAGGAAACACTTCTTCGCTGCTAGAAGCAAGGCAGCAGAACAGACACCAAGGGGAGCTGGGGAAATCTCCATCACTGGAGGGGGTCAAGAAGAGCCAGGATAAGCACTGGTCAGGGATGGTCCGAGAGTAGTTATGCCAATATTCTCCTATGGTTATTTCCCAGGCTGCTGGGCTTTAATCATTGCCACATGGGGCTAAGAAGGAATTTTTTCCCCTCCCTGCTGGTATAGCAGGGTTGTTTCTTTTTTTTTAACCTTCCTCAATAGTACCGTGTTTGCTGCAGCCAAGGCTGGGGTGTACCAGTGCTCCTACTGGGACTTAAACCTGCAGATTCCCAGCTATCAGGTCTTGCCCTTCAGTTCAGGGTCAGACCTACAAGCCACGCGGAGTCCGCTGGGTACGGTAGTGCCGGGTCCGTGGCATGCCGCTGCCCGCGGGGAGACTCGTTGCACGGCCTCAAGCAGGTGGCTTCTGCTGGAGCAGTTGCCACATTTGGGGTCGGGAAGGAATTTTATGGCCAGATTGGTATGGACACTGGGGTCCTTGCCCACCTCTGTAGCAGGGGGCATGGCTCTCTAGTTGGGATTTCTTTTTTTTTTAGTGTATTTTAGCACCCTTTGCAGGAGCAGTATATTGGCCATTGTGGTGCCCCTGCTTTACCTATGGCAAGTTCAGGTATTACGTCTTGCCGTGTCCGAGCGAACTGCAGTTTGTCTAATAGGTTAGACAAGGGATTTGGATAGGATGGGTTGAATAGGGATGATCCTGCCTCGGGAAGGAGAGGCTGGATTAAGTGATAACCTCTGGAGATCCCTTCCGGCCCTACTTTTCTATGATGCAATGAAGGAAAACTGCACTGAAAAAGGAGGATTCCTGTGAATATCTTCAAGTTGGCAGCGTTTGGATAGCTAAGCAAACGTTGCTGGACTAACGCTTCATTGACTGCACCAAGCTTTCCTGTACCCTGCCTTTGCAAATTCTTGCCGAGCCCAAGACTACATAATGGGAGTATGATAAAGGCAAGAATTTCTGAAGTAGCGCTGAGCAGGCAAACTAGATATTGCATAACTAGCTTGAATCTAGACAATGCTTAGAAGAGATTAATTTTATACCAGCCAAAACCTATAGGGGTGCTATGTACCGAAATGAGAAACAAGTTGCTGTTTTCATTTTGCATCTGTTCAGTCAATATTTACAGCTGAAAAAACTAACGAGGATGGTTATAGAAATATAACATAGCCTTCTGAATACCGGTGGTGACTTCGATCAGAGTCCAGAAGTACATACGATAACGGCTCACGTGTTGTGACCTACGATAATGGCTCACGTGTGACTAACTTCTCTTGTTATCAGCATCAATTTTTTTTTTTTTAATTGAGCAAAACAAAAATACACTATATTCTGAAGAACACTAGAAATAGGATTTAAAGACATACCTAAATATTGCTATTTACTTATCTGATCTCACACAGTTGGTATGGTATGGTGCCATACTATATGGTTGGTATGGTAATGATACTGTATGAAGAAACCCTAAAGTGTCTACAAGATATTATTTTGACTTATTAAAAAAAAAGAGAAAGAAAAGAAATGCTCACTGATGAACTGGGAAGCGCGTTGGACATACCCAAGCTGTAAGACTGATGCAAACTTATAGCTCCTGATTTGCGAGGGTTTAGCTAGTAATCTATATAACATGGGATTTCCTTTTCTCCCATGCTATCCTATTAGTCATGACAGCTAAGTATAACAGAGTGAAGCACTAATTCAAATTCTTTTGCTTCTACATAGTCCTCAAAACTTGGTAATATGCCGGAGTATTTTGCATTCATTACCGTGGAATTAACTGTGGAGGTACTGAAGTGATAGCTGGATTACAAACTATTATGTCAGTATAACTTTCTTTGCTTCACTTTTTTTGATGGATTTTTTTTTTTGCTTTCAACCTAGTTATAGTCTCCTAAGTAACTAATGGAAATAAGCAAATGTTTGCGGTGCGAGAATCCTGCTCTTCCTCACCTGCCGCAAAGTCTTTGCATGCCGGCAGTGGAGTTCAGACTCTGGCTGCAAGGCTCACAAGTGATGGTTTGCAAGCATCCACCACCATTTATTTTTGGGGAACAAAACCTGGCTAAAACTGTTACTGTACTTTTCAATGAACGACATAAGCCCAACTAAGGATAGCATTGCGGTGGTTGTCCTGCCTATGCACTTTTGAAGGAACAGAGATATTTTATTTCCACTTATGTACAAATTTGCAGTCTCTAGAAGTACTGATCTTTTCATTTAAAGCCAGGAGATTTATTTTTCTTGTTTTGGGTTCTTCTGTTCATAACAGCCCCCTGAATAATCCCCGTTACAGTGTGTCGTCTCCATTAAGAGAGGCACCGTAAGCAAATCAAATGGCATCTGTCAACTTCTCAGAACAAATGGCCAGAAATGACTCGAAGGGGGATTCCAGATCTGTGCAGCAGGCTCTTCTCTGAAGTCTTACTGGATAACTTCTTGCATACTATGTGAAATCTGGTGGGGGTTGCATTACCCCTGTCATTCATTCTGAAGAATCAGACAACTTTAAATATAACTGTTAACAGATTTGAGATGTGCTCATTTAAAATATTCTTGCAAGGAATCTACGCTTAAAGGCCCCATGATATTATGGAGCAGAGCACGGGAGGGGTGGAGGAAAAAGAGGCCCTGGGAAGGAGCCCCTTCACCCAAATGGTGCCGTGAATGCTACCAAGGTATGGAGAAGCGACACCACTGCTGCGACTGGCAAAGAACTAGGTTGAAAGCAAAAATGATGGGCTGCTTTCCCTTTGCTAGGCGATCCTAATCTAGCACAGAGGTCTCTCTCTCTCTCTCTTTTTTTTTTTTCCCAGGCATCTGGTCCTGCTTGATCATTTTTTTTCCATCTCCATAACTTTCTGGGAATGTCAGGAATGACTCCTCCCCTGTAACCACACGCACCCTCCTCCCAGCCCTCCCCGCAGAGCTGAAGATCAGCCTGGTGGAGGGTCCATCCTGTGGGGCATCCTCTTTCACAGTCTGCTCTATCAAACTATTTTGGCTCTTTCTATTGGAAACTTTTACAATTTCCACTTGGCTGGACAAGACGACTGCAATAAATAGACAACTCTTATTTCTGTTACCCATGTTTTCTTTTTTCCCCGTCGTTTGTAAGGGAGTAGGATTTGGAAGCCGCTCCATGAAAGGATGATCAGCTTGCCCTTTCCCCATGTCCTTGCAGTACGCACAGTTTTAAGCGTATTGATTAGAGCGGTTTGTCCTGCAACCCAGTTGGAAAGTCTTAGGAGCACTTTCCCAAGTGACTGATGCAAGGCCCAGTCTCAGCATGATCCCCCCCAACTACAACCCCCGGGGTCTACAGGAAGGCTGCAAAATGCAAGGACAAGCAGCTGCAATATGAAATCCAAAACTTGGAAGACGGCTCCAAAAAGCTGCATCTGCGCGCTTCCAGGACCCTCGTCACCGTGACATGCATGCATCTACTTTCATAAAGAGCAGCTAGACCAACTCTGAACCAAAACCTGCTCCTCCAAGGAACAGTGCATTCCCACAACATTTTTTTTTTAAGCATTTTGCAAGTAAAACAACAACAAAATCTTTCCCAGCTTTTCTCCTTGGGACACAAGGCAGCAAAAGTGCATAATCCGAGATCCAAACCACCACTCTCGCTGCACAATGCTTTTAAAAAAATAAATCACTGCCCCCAGCTTAGCAACCCCCCAGCCCTCTGCATGCAAACACACAAAGCCATTAAACCCACGTTTTTCAATGCAAACTAAAAAGCCAAGCCTTCCCTCTCCTGCTCTGGGCGATGTGCTGGTACAAACCACACTCGCCTTCCTCTGTGCAAAAGTTACAAATATTACCCGGAGGGGAGGGGGGGTGGGAAACCGGTGGAAAATGATCTCAGTACTGGCACCAAAACAATACTTTCCCATGGAAACATAGGTATATATTTAATTCCTAGCAACTCCACTGCAGTTTCATCTTGCATCCTTTCTTTGTTTTTGCATGGACTTTCGTTAAAAAGTTTTAGCTTTTGCTTCTGCACAAGGAGAAGCCACCCGCAGCCGAGATGCATTTGTGCCTATTCTGCAAATAATTCCCTCCCCTCCCCCTTGCATGCATATGCTCTTCGACACCCTTTATCTGTCCTGACTGTGCAAAAGGCAAAAAAGAAAGAGCTCGGTAATCCCAGCAGAAGAATGCAAATAACGTCAATGCACAGCTGAACTGCAAGCCCTGCCTTACAGGAACTGTGTGCGAGTGTGTCTGCAGGAGACAGAGAGACAGAGACAGAGAGAGAGAGGAGAGGAGAAAAAAAAGGCACATATACTAAACAGGAAATGCAACTGAGAGCAATTGAAAGCCTCAAACTTCACCATGCAATTGCATCCCGAAAATTGCATGCGTGCACCAGAGGCTGCATGCACGCCTGCTTGCATATTTTGCAAAGCGACCGAAGTAGGAGCCTTACCTCTCGCCTGAGACATGGTTTGGGTTTTTGGTTTTTGTTTGTTTTTTTTTGGTTGGGTTTTTTTTTTTTTTGGTTGGTTTTTTTTTTTCTTTTCTTTTCTTTTCTTTTTTTTTTTTTTTTTTGCTCCCCCTCCCTTGGCTTGGCTGGGGGAGGGGCAGCACAAAAGACTTTGCCTTGCTTCTCTTCTGGAGCTAGGTTTTTTTTTTTTTTTGTTTTTTTTTTTTTTTTTTTTTTTTTTTGCAGCCAAGATGCAAACTGCAGGCGCTCAGTCTTCGTGCAGGCGGGGCTGCAGCGGGGAGGCCCGGGCAATTGCACACCTTGCGGGACAGCTTGCAAAGTGGGCTCAGTCTTTCTTTTTTTTTTTTTTTTTTTTTTCCTTCCCTTCCCCAATGGCACAGGCTCTGCTGCACCTACATGATGGGCCAGGGCTGGCAGCTCGCAGCTCCAAACTTGGCTCGGAGTAGCCCAGTGCGCAGACGTGCTTCCTCCCGCCGCGCGGTGCCCGCTGGGTAGTGTAGTGCAGAGCGGTGCCGGGTAGTGCCGTGCGCTGCGGGGCACGGCGGCTGCTGCCTGCGACCCAGCCTGCTTGCCCCTGGTTGCCCCCAGTCCCCTGATCCCCTTCGTGTCCTCTGGTTCCCTTCTTCCCCCTGTCTTCTTGCCTACTTATCCCCTGTCCTCTTTTCCCCTTCTTGCCCCCTGTCCTTTTTTCCCCTGTCCCCTTCCTGTCCCCTGTCCTCTTCTTTTCCCCTTCTTGCCCCCTGTCCTCTTCCTGCCCCTTGTCCTCTTGTCTTCTTCTTGCCCCCTGTCCTTTTTTCCCCTGTCCCCTTCCTGCCCCCTGTCCTCTTGTCTTCTTCTTTTCCCTTTCTTGCCCCATGTCCTTTTGCCCCCTGTCCTCTTGTCTTCTTCCTGCCCCGTCCTTTTCCCCTTCTTGCCCCATGTCCCCTTCCTGCCCCCTGTCCTCTTGTCTTCTTCTTTTCCCTTTCTTGCCCCATGTCCTTTTGCCCCCTGTCTTCTTCCTGCCCCCTGTCTTCTTCCTGCCCCCTGTCCTCTTGTCTTCTTCCTGCCCCCTGTCCTTTTGTCCTCTTCTTTTCTGCTTCTTGCACCATGTCCTTTTGCCCCCTGTTCCCTTCTTGCCCCCTGTCCTCTTGTTCCCTTCTTGCCCCTTGTCGTCCTCTTGACCCCAGTCGTCTCGTCCCCAGGATTGCAGGGCTCTGGTGCCCCCCACGCACACTCCTTCCCCTCGGTTTGCACAAGGAGACTGCAAGGCTGGGATGGAGGCGCTGAGGGCTGGCTCAGTGGGTGCAGAAGAAAGCACCCGGCCCTGCACGGTTGGGTGTGCGAGGTTCAACCTTCCTTGCTCTGGAGACGTGGAGGGAAGAGCAGGCTGGGGATCTGCTGAGCAATCTGCCCCATATAAAAAGAAATGACAATAAGTAAAGGGGGAGGCGGGCAATGAAGAGAAATGAAAACTGGCCTTTTCATGCAGAAGGGGCACCTGCAGCAGCCAGACCCTTTCCTTTCCTGTTCAGGAGCGCACCCACCTGTTATGTCATGATTAAGGCATACAAAAAATAAGTGTGCCTGTTTTCTTTATTCCCTGACTTCTTCACTGCCCCATTTCCATGCACAATATGTGCTGCCCTGCTTGGAGAACCTTATCTTGGAAAGGGGCTGCCTCACTGAAGTCCTGTTCCTTTCTTCCTTTAATTAATATTTTTGTGGAGGTGTTTGAAGTCTCATTGGCAGCTTATTTACTGGTTACAATCTATAGAGAGACTGAGCCTGGCTTCCTGTTTATCCTTATACAGTGCCATTTGGTAAATAGTAAAGATGTTCTCTGCTTATTTTCCTAATCAAAATGATTGTGCATATTTTGCACTTTCCAACAATGTAACAGTAGCTCTGTAGGACTGTTATTTGTGGAGATTAGTATGTAATGCCAGGGAGGCATTAGGTAACAAAAGTACTTGTTTATTATTATTATTATTATTATTATGACACAAAATTTCTGGCTGGACAAAATAAGGCAGAATTGGGTGCATGTTTTCTGCCTGCATCTCATCTTATTTTGAGCAATGGAGCAGAGACCAGAGCCTGCGTTCACCTGCCTGGTTAGTTTGACATCCAGTGGACCGCTGGTGTCTAAGTTGAAGCATATAGGTTGCTTGATCTGGGGATGGAGGATAAAACAAATGTGGTATCAACAGCAGGGTTTCCATCCCAGCACCTGGCAGTCCACACAAGTTAAGATGGATTTCATAGCAGCTAACTTGTTAACTCTAGCAGATAACTTGATCAACTCCTTTTAGGCTAGCCTGGCTGGGGGAAGGTGATGCTGGTGCTGCTGCTAAACAGTGAGCTGCAAGTTTTAAAGCACCGCTTAATTCAGAGGTGAGGATAACACCTGAGTTTATACCTTCATCTCATGTTCTCCTCGAGACAAACCCTTAGTTAAAGCATTGCGAGAGGAAAAGGACCCCAAATGAACAGGTAGGAAACGTCCATTTTTGCTTATTGTCACTTATTGGATTATTTTGCTTTTGTTCTTGTTTGGGGAGCATCTCTGGCTGGGTTCAATGTTTTTGGAAGGCTGCTTCTTCTGTTGAATAGGATCACACACATTCCAGCGGCTGCTGTGGAGCTGTTCCAGTCGATCAGGTGAGCCTACAGTTAGGACAGTGCTCTGAACCTTGCACTGGATGCAGGTATGTCTCAGCCCTTCCCATTTGATTAACATGCATCAAGCTGTCCTTTCAGTGAGTTGAGTATACTGTTATGTACAGCAGAAACCTCCCTTTGTCCTCCGAAGTACCCGTCTGTCATGGTCCACCTGGGATGAGCAGTTGAAGCATCAACTGAGATTCACAATCTAGATTTATTCCCATAGCCCCCCTCCCTTCTCTGTCTATATATATCTCGATATCAAAAAAAATATTCTGCCAGTTTAACTGGGGGGAGAATCATCACCTTATCCAGCATAGTCTTGTTGCCAGTTCCTCATGGAAGCACAATTTATGTGGCCAAAAGGAGCCTTTTTCTAGCAGAGTTCATGTTCTGGGAAATGACGCTTCTCGAGAGAAAATATTGCAATGGAAAAATGCCTGTGGTTGCCTTACATGGCATTTTTGCTAGGGTGCTGTGGTGGTATAACTATACAGGCAGAGTTGCTCTGGTATGGACTACCCGTCCCCCCACAATGCCTCAAGTAACCTTTCTTTAGCAGATATCAGCCTTGGGGAAGCATATCTTATTTGATGTTCTTCAAGTTAGAAACGTGATCGTTCAGGTCGTGCCTTGCCTTGTCCACCCCAATGATCCATTGCATAAATTTCTTTACCAAGTCCCACAGATGGATGTACATCTTCCCTGGTGTAACGTGATGGGATGGATTTGGTCCATAATTAACAGGTCTCTGCATGTGAGCCGTGTGTTATCTAGGAGACAGTACGGGTACACTGCCAAATAAATGAGATGGGCTCAGGTCTGTTCTCATTTTCCTTTAAGTTTGCAAGTTTGTTTGAAGCAGGAACAAGTCTTTTGCTCTGGCATCTTTGCTTACTGGGGTCTTGGTCAATTGACTAGAGTGCCTAGGCTTTCCAATATAGAAATCATTAATGCTCAATCTGAAGTCTTATTTTTTTGTTGTTCTAGGAAGATCAAGGTTTATCCAGAGTCTGAAATGGAAGAAGCAGCTTAAGATGCACCAGATGAGTAATAGAAAATCCTGTCCCATATGGAGGATTTGCACCCAGGCCCATGAAGGGGAGTAGCTAAAATGCTATATAGTCAAGCCAACCAGTGATGGGTGCATGGTAATACAAGGAAGGATGGGGGTGGTATTTTGGGGTAAGGAACACCAAATCTGAGCACATTACAGTTAAAGTAGCCTTTATGTGAAGCATTAAAAAAATAAAATAAAAAGCCCCATATTCAAACGTTTGCAGGTAATGGATTTGTAAATTATTTTGTAAATTTTCTGCTTTTCTCTGTTGTAGAAGAATTTAAATAAATAGTTCGTGTCATGAAGATTTGGGGGCCAAGTGCATATTCTCAACTTGCAGTGAAAACTGTGGTGGAACTTCTGTGTACTCCAGCAAAATTGTGATACCTTGAGGTCTAAGACTTCTGTGGAAGTAGTTCATAAAGAACATATATCTGTAATTATAAGCAGTGCTACTAGTCGTCACTCGACTCTGGTTTTCTCCAATGCATTGGAAAATATATATTATAGCAAACTTCTGTACCACAACCTCAGACTTTCCCAAATGTGCCTCCAGTGATTTAGACCGTGTTATACAGTAGGCACTTGGCAAATGTTTTTTATGCCATTTTTAGTTATAAAGGCGAAAATAAAAAGGATACAGTAACCCTCAATTAGGTGTATACTTTTAGAACTTCATAATGTTCAGAGTGTTTGGGGGGGGGGAAATGGCTGCAAATATGCCATTATATTGCCAGATTTCAGTGTAGAGCATGTCTTTATTAACCAAGCAATACCTCCTTGAAATGAGGGGTTTATTATGGAAAGGCTGACAGACCCTTAATGACCACATCATGAATGGCAGTTACAATAGCCCATAAGCTAAATAGTGGCATGCACAGTCCTTAAGATAAATAGTGGCATGCACAGTCCTTTAGCCTTGCTTGGCAGAGTTGGGCAGCCTTAGCTGGTTTGAAGGTCTATGATGTGTTGGTATTTTTCTTCTCGTCTGTTCCAGTCTGCTTTTAAAGTTCTGTTAAATGTTAGTGATCACATTTTGGGGCTGGGGCTGTTGTTTTTGGTTTGCCCATTTTAGCTTTTGGAGTCTCTTTTGGAGTCTCATTTGTCTATCGTGCCAGATTGAGAGGGCTAAGGTGGGCATGTCTACGTGGCATTGGACAGAGCTAGAGCACAGCACTGAAAATACCTTCCTGCCCATTTACCCCTGCTCCATACCTGTCAGTAAAGTTTCTGGCTTATGCCCAGGGCCTCAGACTTGGGGGTCTAAGGTTGAGCCAAGTTCCACTCTAATGGCAGCAATATGATCTCTTTTTTGGAACGCAGCATGCAATGCAGTGCAAGCAAATGGGCAATTTTCGGAGCAGCACTGTCTGACCTAGTGCAGACGTACCCTTATCGATCTAATATATCTTTTCTACGTAAAGTGGAGTTGTCTCTTCATTACAGGATTATGAATGCATTCTGCTTGTGCACAAGAGGTAATGCATTGCATATGTTGATGGAAAGATGCCAACAGAATATAGAAACAATCTTATTCTCTTGAAATGTATGTGTTTCATGCCTTGATAGTTTTTCAAGGTGGTCCAATTAAGGTAAATGCTTCTGGCATCTTTTCCATTAATACTTGTCTTCACCACCATCCATCACCCTAATTCTTCTTCAGCTGGTTACCTAAGAGCTTCTGCCCATCTGGACCCTGAAGCATGAAGATAGCAAGCAACTTCCCAACGTCTCCAAGGGAAATGTAGAGCTTTTGCTATCCAGTCCTCTACTGAAACTGCAGGTAAGCATGCATCATTGTTGCCTACACTGGTTGTGGGAAATGTAGAGCTCTTTCCATCCAGTCCTGTACCAAAACTGCAGGTAAGCATATGTCATTGGCACAACCAATGTAGGGAACACGGAGATATTTTTGTT